AAACCACATAACTATTCTAGAGATATCTCGCACATGCATAGATTACAGCTGAGCACATCTAGACTTGAATCCCAAGATTACCCAAGAGCATAGGTTCTATCACCCGACTGATGGAGTGTCCGTAATTAATACGGAGTGTCCGCTAATCCTGAGTCTAGCCACCAACAGCCAAAATCCCATTCTGAGCGACACAGCGGAGTGTTCGCCAATCGTGGCGGAGCGTCTGTCGAATTATAGAGCATAGTAACCCAGTAACCCAAGAGAACCCAGTTTCCACTGGAGAGTCCATCATTTGGTCAGACCATCCGATATTCTTTAGCTAACCCTAGGAATGACCATGTCCTGAACCTACCAAAGTATCCGTCTGAGCAGAGCCAACCTAGAGACAACCCATCCCAGCACCTAGCACAACGGAGTGTCCGTCATCTAGCACGGAGTGTCCGACAACACATAAAGAGTGTGAGATTGTTCAACCATCTTACCCAAGGAGCCAACAACACTAGGATAAGCATAGTTTCCACAAGGGCAATGGTAAAGCCGTAGGTAGAAGCCTCTATCCCAAGCTCGAAGTCGAGACCTGTTCCTAAGTCTCCCTCAAATGACCTCAGCCTTGATCCTTGTTCTCTTTCAGGAGCTGAATAGCGTGAGGAACGTGTGTGAGTTGTCGTCTACAACTTCAACTTCGTTCGAGCGGCAAAACCCAGGCAGGAACCCTACTATTATGAACCCTACTTTGGATACTTATCAAGTTACATTATGAGTCATGCATTACATGTAGTTTTGGAAAATGATCACCTTCACACTACACCTAGAGTAGCTTAATAATATGTAGAAGCCTCTCATCTAGACAATGGGAATGGGAACGCTTATTGCTTATTGCTTAGTTGCTTGGGAAATGGTAGAAGTCGAGCATGAGAAGGGAACTCATACTCGCATGTGTAGGATGCTACACCTGGATAATTAACTACTAAAACCAACGAGGGTACAACTTGACTTACGTAACCAATCTAGCTAAGGACTAATGTTCCTAATATGATAATCTTGATGATAAATTAGATATCTTGCTCATGCGACATAGCTCTTGGAGCAGTAAGGACTGTGTATTGGGATACGTAAGTCCGAGTAACCACCCATACAGACCATATGTCACGGATGGGGTCGACAAGCCAAGTAACTAATTGCGACATGTTTATCCGTGAAACTGGCAAGGGGGTGGCGTCGGTCGGGAATGTCCGGGACATTGACCAAGAACCTAGTCGAACCTTTCGTCGGACACTCGGGCTGTATTAGGGAAAGGTTGGAAGGCGTGAGGCAACCCTTACCTCGTGCACGGGGTATGGAGGTTAGTTCCGTTCTTCCGTGTGGGTGCAGTTGTATACCTCTCCAGAGTCTTGAAAGCCTAGAGTCCTTTGGGACAGAACTATTCGGTTGTTCTTTCTTTCTATACCCATGGTAGCGTGAATGATGGATTATGAGCACTTCTGTTATATGAGCACTTCTGTCATAGCATGTCATAATCTTAATGAATATCATTGCTTTCTGCACTTATACAAATGCCCGATAATCATCCTATGTATCCACCAAATATTATATGTTGGAATTAAGTCCTGCGAGTACGCAATGTACTCACGGCGCTGCCGTTAAGTTGTTTGCAGGTGTTGCTGCCCGGTGGATTATGAGGTAGCGCTCTATTCACCGCTGCATAGTAGACCTTGGATTGGGTGGATCCAAGATGAGCTACAAGTTAACTCCGATAGGAATCTAAGCAAGTCAACCGAAGAGCCGAACCTAGGAGGGATAACTATGACTATACATTGTGTGAATCATGTAATTTTCTGTAAGCATAATAACCTTGTTAGTGGGGCACGATGTTGGATGTTATATGTGTGTTGCTTTGCCACATGGGGTATTCCATGTCACTCGACCGTTGAAAGATCCTGAAGCTGTCATGGTGTATCCCGCACGCGACAGGCAATGCCACCTAGAACGTCGATGAATCTCGCGGAGAGATGTAACGAACAGCAGGAGGGCTAGAAAAGGACAAAAGTAGGGTAATAGATGTAAAAAAACGATTGAGTGTTGAATCCTTTAATCGGCTGTGATCCTCTGAGGAGATGGTCTTATCCCAATAGGTAACGATTTCAAATCATAATCTCCAAGTTTTCCATGTGAAAGTACGTCCAAAAACCGATTTGGAAAGTCACTAGTTCGGACTCGAACAGGCAAACCGGCCAGGTCGGTTTTCACGGGCTCAGCAGTAGCGTAGGATCAGCCTAGCCGGGTCCCAAACTGGCCAAGCCGGTTGGGCAGGCGGCGGCGTAGAAGGACTGGCCTAGCCGGGTTCCAAACAAATCTTCGCAATTAGGTTGGCATTGAGTGATCAAGAACTTGCTATATGCGGTCTCGGAGGGAAGAAAGGTGTTAGCGCTCGGATGGAAATAGGTGAACTGATGTAGGACCGGAACAGGATGAACTGAACACTCCAACATAAAGCTTGTGACCAGTAGTAAAACATAGATTGCTCTTTTCATATTGGTAGAGCTTGATCCTCAACTATTTATGGCGATATTTCCTTACAAAGTATTGTTAAGGAATCTATAAGAACATCTGTTTATTTTGGTCCAACATTTGCGCTAACGCCATCGCGAATCCCACCGTCAGGGGCCACTTTCATGGGCCGTAATACTCTCATGGGCCTACCCTAGGCATTGGGCAGAGTCTCGGTCCAGGCCCAGGTCTAGTCCTGCATAAACTTAGCATCTCGAAAATCCTTGCTGTACCCAAACCCAAAAGAGGTGAGTCTGAAACTTTGACAGGATTTGCAGCAAGTCAGACTCACTTTCGCAGAGCACTCAGCATCTAGCTTGACTAGCTAGCAAGGGTGAAGGAGATCAATTTGGCCACGTATCCACCTTCTGTGACATCCTAACATCTGTTACAGTACCTTTGGTTGCTTGTTGAGCCTACCAATGCAAGTGGAAGAAGTTCAGAGATGCCTGGTTTCGCTGCTTTGGATGACAGATGACTGTGGCCCGCATGCAACTCTGATAGCAAAGCTTGTCCACTTTGTAAATAAACCGTGTTTGTCATAGTATACTAGTAACTAAGCGTGGCTAATAGGTAGGTACTCTACCTTCCTATCATTGTTTCGTAAGTGTTTTTGTTTGTTTGTTAGGATACATATGTGAACATGTTTATATTACTTACTAGTTATTACTGCCGGAGTGAGGAGAGGGTGAGTTTTGGTTGACCGCGTGCTGCTGAGTACTACTGCTCCTGTGATAACAGCAAGGAGGAGGAAATGGCTTTCTCAGATGGGGATGAAAGCATCGTTATCAGAGGGGAATCCCGACATGAACGCCGTGTCCGGTGCATGCCCCCGCACACCTTGTCTGTCCCATCTCCATTGGCTGCCACCGGAACGCGCCAAAATTCCGCCCCGTCGCCATCAGATTTCAAGCTCAAATTTACAAGAAAATTGCGCCGCTACGTACCCACACGTGACCGTAGCACTTCACTTTATTCTAGCACCACCACCACCGGGCCGGGTATGAGCTGAATCTAGAACCGGTTGGTGCGTGAAGCTCACATTTGAGCTGCGTTCGCTGGTCTGGAAAAACCAGACCAGCCGGCTGCTCTTCCTCACATGTGCACTGTTCATCAACCAGCTGCTACAGTGTTTTTCTCTCGTACAACTAGTCAGTTTTAGACCAGCGAATAAGGCCTTGGAATCTAAACATGTCGGAATGAGTGGATTTCTTTTGTACGTACTCCCTTCGTCATAAATAAGGGTCGTTCCTGCTTTCCCATGCAAAACACTGTTAACTTTGACAAATATACCTTTAAAAAAAACTTTGACCAAATATGCAAGAAAATATTAATATTTATAGATCGTTGAATATATTTTTATAATAAACTTATTTAAAGATATAAATATTGTTAATATTTTCTATAAATCTACTCAAACTTAAGAAAGTTTAACCGGCACGAATCCCATAGCGATAAGTATCATTGTCGATTCCCGAGAAGTCAAACGCTTTTAATTTTAAACAAATAGATATAATAAAATATTAATATTTATAGTACATATTGAGTGTCTACAAATATTGCTTTTTTTTTACAAACATAGTTAAACTTAAAAAAGTTTGACCGACATAAATACCGTAGTGACAAATGGAGCACGTGAGTGGAATTCTATAAGGGCACCCGCAATGGTTGATCATAAGCTAGCTCTAAGTATTTTTTTATATTTTAATAGAAGAGAGAGAAAAGCTATCTCTTGATTAAGAGCTAGACTCATACACACATTTCAAGATCATGTAAGAGTGTCATGGGCCTAATCATATTATGAGTTATTGCTAAAAGCTAACACTATTGAATATATAGGTTTTAACATGGGTAGCATCAAATGACACTCACATAATAACCTAAAATATGTGCAAGAGCTTAACTTTTAATTAAAAGCTAGTTTTTTTCTTCTCTTCTATTAAAATATAAAAAAATATTTAGAACCAGTAAAAGTCGATTGTTGAAGCTGCCCTAATATGGTAAGACCTCACAGCCTAGAATTCAATTAGCACATGATCTAAACAAAGTGATTGCAGTTCGAAACAGCCCATCAGCATAACGACATTTCTGCACTGCACACTGCTCCGCAGGTGACCACCGCCACTAGCCCACCACAAACACAAGCGGGCCACACTCTTACCGCCACTTCCCTCCTCAGAGCTGCCTGCTTGCTTGCTCGAGCTCCCACGGCTCCAGTGCCCCCGACACATCAGCCTCCTCTCCTTCCACTCGCCTTCCTTTTTGACGTTCCAGGATCATCCATGGCATCCAAACCAAGCAGGGAAGAAGACTAGCATCGAACCCACTTCTCACAGGATCCAACCGCCCAAGAAACAAACACAGCCGTGGCGACCTAGAAGGCATCAAGCATAGCGCCGTAGGTGGGAGGGGGAGGGCAAGGGCGAGACAAATGGCAACAACCATGGCCGGCGATGGGATGCGGCGGGGCGGTTGGCGGCGGCGGTGAGCGTATGGAGGAGGACGAGGCAGGGGCGTCGACGTCGACGTCGTCGTCGTCGTCGCCGCCGCCGCCGCCCATCGCGCAGCTGGGCTACGACCAGGTCCTCTCCATCCTCCGTCTGCTCCCGCCCGAGGCCGTGCTCTCCTTCGCCGCCACCTGCCGCGCGTTCCGAGCCTGGGCCTCCTCGGACGCGCTCTGGGAGGCGCTGTGCCGCCGCGACTGGGGCGCCCGCGCCGCCGCCGCGCTCGCCGAGCGCCGGCGCGACCGCCACGGCGGCGGCGGTGGCGGCCTGCAGGCGCCGTGGCGGAGGGTCTACGCCGAGGTCGCCAGGCTCGGCGCCCTGTCCGCGCGCCGCGTCCCTGTCAGGGGCGCCTCGCCGCGGCCCCGCGCGTCGCACTCGCTCAACCTCGTCGCCGGCTGGCTCGTGCTCTTCGGCGGCGGCTGCGAGGGAGGTAATTTCAACCAAACTGTTTCACTACGTCCTTCTTGCTACAGAATTGGTTCAATAAGGTTAAAAAGATGATTGCTTTGTGCCTTGTCTATGAATCAATTCACGAGGGGAAATTCGATCCCTGGGGCAGAGTATTAGAATGGGTATTATGAACTCCTATAGATTTGTTTGGGGTGATAAGTTGCTTATAGTTTGCAGATTATATGCAGAATCTTTGCTGCTGTTGCAGATGTCCGATTGATGCTTTGATTTGCTTGTTCTGTTTATGCCTGTTTAAGAAAACAACAGGGGAGCTGTTCAGAAAAGGTAGAATGCTTAGGCTAATCCCAATCCATGGTATCATACTTGATATCCAAAGCTGCCACATCATCAGAAGAGCTGTATCCAATGCTATGACTCATAGCAATTAATTATTTGATATGTTTGTGTCTATGAAAGTGGGTCCAAACGATTGAAATTAATGCTGATTAGTTGGATTTCATGTCAAAGCTGTATATCTTTCTCCCTTAATGATGGCATCTAATAAATCTGTATGTTACAACCCATTGTGAGTAACCTTAGTGCACAACTTTACTTATGATTTCATTAAAAATACTTTGCTTTATCGATTATGAAGCTTGCACAGTTCTGTTACTTAGGCCAATCTCAATGGTGTTTCATGGGCATTAAATATGCTGACATGACATTGTATTTATGAAGAAAGAGATGATGAAAGTTTCATGGGAGTAAGAGTTTCATGGGGATGAAACTCTTCTGCACTATTTTCAAAATATGAGTGTGTTAGAAACTGGGCAATGAAACCCCCACTGAGACTGGCCTTATGACACACTTGCTAATTGTTTGGAGAACCTTCCTCCAATATACTCATGTATCCTGACTGTAACATACACTGGTATGTCCGGGTAGTGTAGCACATCCGACAGAACTTCAGGAAGACTTGCGTCATGATTGTAGAAGGAATTCCTTGGAAATTTAGGAGTTTATTTCAAGTTTGAATTAAATCCTATGGATCAAATCCAAATGGTTCATTAGCTGGAACTATTTGTCTTGCAAATCAAGTTAGTTGCTTCCCTTCAGAGTACTTTGTTTGAGTTATAACATTGTTTATCTAATAAACTATTTATTCTCCAAATCCAGAAAAAGAAAAACCAGAGAATTTTCCGTAGCTATATTCTTTGCACTTAAAGTTCTGCCCTTTTAATAGTTTTTTCCTCTTTCTGCATGATTAGTTTATCTCTGATCCCATTAGCCTTAAGAATATTAGACGTGAAAGAACTTCTGATGACTTGGAGGTTATACTTAACCTGATTATTTTAATTAATTTAAAAGTCTAACTGTAAATCTAATTGAGATTGTTTGATGTGATACATAAATTGTATGGACATCTGAAATCAGTTTTCAAGATTTGTAGTGGAGTACAGTTCTTTTTTTTTTTTTTGTCTTGAACACGCAGGAGAGCTGAATCTTTATATTAAAGAAGAGAGAAAGGGAGAAACCCCAAAGTACACACCCTCATACCCTTTTAGTTCTCAAGATACGCTCAACAGCGTCACAACCATGACAAGACAAGACCTAATCACTAGGTGCAAGGGCACTCAACAGTGAGAGCTCTTGCTCCCCAGCCATGCCCCAAAGCTGCACCTCTTCTTCTACAAGCAGTAAGGCCCAATAGCCATGCGTGGGGTAACACCATCAAGCACACAGTGATTCTGTTCTGATGTATCCAAAAGTCCAAGCCCGTAGAATAATGTGAGAGCTGCCTCAGCCTTGCTGCAGCAAATCATTTGTGGCCTCACTGACAAAAGCACCACCGTTCATCAAAGGACACATCTCCAGGAGAAGGTGATAACACTTGGAGGCCAAAATGACGAGTAATCGGAGGAGCCTCGTCAGGAGTGCATGCCGGCAAGGTCTCTTGAAACCTGAAACCCCACACGCCCGGGAGGGACCCCATCAGGGCGTGCGGCAGCTATGGGCTGCCCTAGCCGGCCTAACTGCTCTACTTCGTTGTCATTGAACCACCGGCCATCAGCAGCAACGAAGAATGGTGAGCAGTAGTAGATGGAAGTACGGTAAAAAGTGTAGTAGATGTGTTTTTTTTTCAATTGGATAGATGGATCTCTCAATTAGCCGTGATCCTCTCACATAAATAGAGGGGGGAGTCTCATCCCAGTAGGAAACTTATTCCACATGTAATTTACAAGTTTCCCACAAGATCAGATGAGTTTCCAAAGTGTTAGAATATACATGTATATGTGTTGTGCGTGTATGGTGGGCCTGTGCCTGGTATAGTCGGCCAGCCCTATATTTGGTTAGACTATATTTGGTTAGAGAGATATGAGGAGATCTCTGTTGGTTCTGTTTCTATAAGCCACAAGATCTCCTCTTCCCTATATATATGTACATAGGACTCTCTAATCAATCTAATCTAATATTCCACGCAATCTCTATTGCTTTCACAAAGGACAAACACAAATTTAGGCTTGGACTGCCAAAACATGCCTGGCCGGTTTCTACTGAACACCGTAGGCACTCTGCCAAAACCGGCCTGGGCCAGTTTACTCTACACAAACCGGGCCGGTTTCCAAAACCGGTCTAGGCTGGTTTTTCCTGGACAATGCCAAATTAGCCCAAATTGCTCTAAATTTGATCATTTTGCTCTTTTCTTGTCTGCACATCTTCTCCAATCCATCTTCAACTTACCCAATCATATTTTGACTGTCAACAGATTGCTTTTGGTTCTGTCCAGCTTGAAGCTATACTTTTCACCATTGATGTGCTGTTTGTGTTTTTGTGATCCTTTATTATTATTATTTGAGCTTCTATTTTATGTTTACATTGGTTATTCCATTAGAAGATTTTCGTTGCTCTTTCTACTTAACTGTAGGCATCACATCTGTCCTCCTGAACTCCTGATTTGCTTGTTTGCGTTGATTTTTAGGTTGAACACAATCATCTACTCCCTCCGTCCCAAAATAAATAATTTTCTAACGTTTAAAATTTGTCGCAAAACAAATAACATTCTACACAAAAATGGAACAATGCCTCTTAATACGGAAGCTAATTATGGGTGCATGTAAATGATAACCAACAAATTCAAGAGATATCCTCTGAGGAAGGAAAGGAGATGAGGTACATGCGTCTTTTGCCAACGTTCTTAATCTGTCTGAAAATTTTCAGAAACTTATTTATTATGGGGCGGAGGGAGTATGTATTCGAGAAAAAAGCAAAAGAAAAAAGGAAAAAGAATACAATCACCTAAATATTTTTTTTTTACTCTGATAATCGAGGCAATGTTTTATGTTATAAGATTAAGACCTTTTCAGCCAATACGAAAGAAGAGCCTTCTTATACATGAATAGTGCCGGTAAGTTAGTATTTGGTCTAAAAGGTGTCTGAGTCCCTGAGTTAACATCCTAATACTTAGCTCTGGAGATAAGGGTGTGGGTGTCTTCAAGTAACAATGATTCTCCCTAGATTTAATATCGGCGCAAAGCCAATACTAACCCTGAACTTAGCTGCCTAGGTCGAAACCCTCCCCTTTTGCATCTGCCTACCACTGCATTTCTCTGTTGTTGGTCACTCATGGTGCTCGTGCATGCACTTCAGTTGAGGTATCAGCCTATCACATGATCCCTGTGATGCTCCTTCAAATCATGCCATTTATCCTTCTTTTGCACGGGATGACCATGATGAGACCGTTTCACATCATTTTGTATCGAACACCATGGCTTTTGCTACAGAGAAGATGTTAACCGGCCACAAATATTGGACGCTATGCAAACGATGTGGATTCTGCAAGAGACCAGTTCTGATCTAGGTGCTATGGTGATGAGTGCTCTTCATCAAGTTTTGGACTTCTATGGAGTTATTATGGGAACCACTGACATATTCGTGCGAGGTCAAGGGTTGCGGTCTCCATTAAATACAGTTCATTCCATGATACACGAGCTTCAGGAAGGCTCCAAGGCAGTCTATGATGCCTGCTGGAAGTGTGACACTGTGTTGTTGCTTTCTCTTCCATGGTCAAGGATGGGAGGAATCCCTCTTAGATTTTGAAGAAAAATGTCTCACTGATTAGACTTATGAATGTGAAAGAAAGTTGAAAGAGGGACAGCATGATGCTGCGCTTACCACGCCACTATATTTAACCAAGGGCCAACAACTACACAACCTATATGACTTCACCAGCATTGCTACCACTAACAGGAAAAAAATGTGGTCATTGTTCCACTGCCCATGTTCTCTGTGTTGTAATGGGCCTGCGTATATAGGAATCTGATGTTAATAGATGGCAATAAATCCAGGAAGTATAAAAAGATGAGTTATATTTGGTTGTGATCAGTTCTTTCATGGGCTATTCAGACAAATAATTGAGTCTGGCTTCTTTTTTTGATTGGAGATAAAGAGTTGTCACTTGAGAGTCCATTGGTCCATCCCCATAAAAGGGTGAGGTATCATGTCCTGGAGGAGAAGAGAAAGTGAAATTAGTCTATTTGTTTTCTAATATATTCTCTTATCTATGTTCCAGCTTCTACTTTCAGTGCTCTTGTCTCCTTCCATCCATGCTGTCAGTCCTTCCTCTCCCTGATAATGGTCCAGATGTAAAACTTTATGCTCTGTTTAATGTATATGTTCTGTCCCAGGGCTGCTACACCTGACACATGGTGTTAAAGCATAACACTTTCTATATATGTAGTTATTGGAGACGATTGTCTCTTTTACCTTTCTTCCTCTTTCTATGTGAAAGGATAATTGCATTATTTGCATACTGTGATTATATGCTTTCATTACAATTATGAAGACTTATTTGATAATATTTTATCCCAGTCTTTGGTTTCTAACTAGTTTTCTGATGTTATCTATTGCTCTAGTTAGGTCACCATCTTGATGATACTTGGGTGGCTTATGCTGGAACTGGAGCTGGAAATAGACCGCCTGCTATACTTAGCTGGCAGCAATTAGCCTCTGGCACTCCAGGTGGTCGATTCAGTCATTCATGCACTCTAGTTGGTGACACATTAGTCTTGTTTGGTGGAATCACAGATCAGGGGCAGCGCTTGAATGATACATGGATAGGTCAAATTATCTGTGAAGAGCATCGAAGGATGCGGATCTCATGGAGACTGCTGGAGGTAGGTCCGCTTGCACCACCTCCTCGTGGAGCTCATGCAGCCTGCTGTGTGGATGACAAGTTTATTGTAATTCATGGTGGGGTAGGGCTCTATGGCAGCCGGCTTGGTGATACATGGCTTCTTGATCTCTCAAATGGCCTCCAATCTGCCAGTTGGCATCAAATAGGCAACACATGGCCTTTGCCTCCACCTCGTTCTGGTCACTCTTTAACTTGGATTGGTGGTACACGCATGGTATTATTTGGTGGTAGAGGATCAGAATTTGAGGTTCTTAATGATGTCTGGCTGTTTGATATTAGTGATCGATACCCCAAATGGAAGGAACTAAAGTATGACTTGTCTAGTGCTCTTGGTGAACTTCCTTTTCCACGGGTTGGGCATTCAGCAATACTTGCCTTGGGTGGCAAGGTCCTTGTGTATGGCGGGGAGGACTCACAAATGCGTCGAAAGGATGACTTTTGGATCTTGGATACACCAGCTCTACTTCAGTACGAGTCAGGTTCCAAGAAAATGACCAAAAAGATGTGGAAAAAACTAAGAATTGATGGTCAGTGCCCAAATTACCGATCCTTCCATGGGGCATGTGTAGATACTTCTGGTTGCTGTGTGTATATTTTTGGTGGAATGGTTGATGGCCTTGTACACCCTGCAGAAACCTGGGGTTTGAGATTTGATGGGCATCTGTATCAAGTGGAGCTTCTGCTACATCTCTAGAGTGTGTATTTTGTTCCCTTGTAAATCCGAGACATGTCATAGGTTTGATGTTTAGCGTCTGGTGTAGTTTGTAAAAACTGCTTCATGATAAATCTGGAGGTCTCCTTATAAATATTGAGGTGACCAGTACCAGTACCATGTCACCCAGGTTTTCAACATTGTAAGGATACTCCAAATGGTGCCTAACTGTCGTTTGCGCATGGATGCATGCGCACACCTGTGGCTGATCTGTGAAAGGAACAGTGACCCTTGTAATTTTGTCATTAAGGCCTGATCTGTCTGTATATGGGTTTGAATTTTCATTCCTTTGTCAGATTCATATGTTCCAAAGAGTGCCCTTCAATACCATCGGGAGCAGATGGTTGTTTTGCTACTTGATGAGCCATCATGTAGTCATGGGAAGAGGGATAATTGTTGTTTTCCATAATAATCCAATGCGTGAGGATTGCTCGGGACCATATGGAGTTGCTATTGGATCTTTGCATCCCAGTCACAAGCTAGCTCAATGCAGGAGGACCATATCTCATTCAGCCCTTGGGTCGTCACATGCACAGAACCTGTTATTTGTATTGATCTAATGATGGTGCATGGGTCACACTGGCAACACTACGCATCAGAATTTCTCCCAAAGATGAATGCTGGTTTGATCTTTGGTCCACCAGTACTAGATTGTTGTCGAGGCTTGTAATGGTATATCAGTATGCAGGTTATGTCATGTGCGCATTAATTCTGCGATAACAGGACCGATAGTTGCTTGGATTATTTCAGATTAGGGACCATTTGAAGTATGATTGCTCGAGAGAAATATGGAGCTCCTGTTCAGATCCACTTTGTGACAGCAAGGCAAGCTTCAGCATCAAGATCCATGTATGCTACCTCTGAAAGGTTTACTTAGGCTAGACTCAGTTTGTCTCTCTGATTCTGTACATTCTTGATAGATTATATTTGCTCAAGATGTTGTTTCAGTGCAGCATTCAACTGACTTCGTCACGCATCTCGAATATAGTTGTTATTGTACTCTACTGAAGTTTGAAGTCGAATGCTGAAGGTTGGCTAGTAAGAGTGTGATTGGTTGCTTGCATTAGCTCTAGTCTGAGTATAATATAACACTTTATGCAGCTAGAGATGTCAATGGGGGTTTTTTTTTTTTTTGAAAGGAAACTGTGGAGCTTGCTCCCCAGTGCTTTATTAGCAAAAGAACACAACGAAAAAACAAGTGTTAGCTGGGTGCTAACAAAGGGACAAAAGAAAACCTACCAAGGAAGAAAGAAAGATCACGGACGCAGCCGAGGAAAACAAACAGCAACGGATGCGACACAGACACAGCCGTCCCCGTTCCTACTAGGGAATCCCCGCAGGAATCCCTGCTTAAGCTTATCAATTCTCACAAATTCAATAATAGATTAACTTCAAGCACCTTAGAAATCCACCAACTTATCATTAAAAGATATTAAATTATCAATAGACATCCATATATTTAGTACACTATATCTATATGAAACAATAGATTGGTGGTACAGTTAATAGATTGATGCAAGGTTGCTACAAGAATTAACTTCGTGGGTCAGGGATGCGGGGAATGGGACGAAGTGTCTCCATCTTCAGGAAGCCCGATGAGGAGAGTTTTTCCCTCATTTCATTCCCCGTGGAAGCTAACTTTTCCCGTTCCCGTCTCCTAATAGGGAAATCTGCGTGAGAAATCGGAGATCAGGCCGACATTGCCATCTCTATATGCAGCACAATCTAAGCCAACATAAACATGTGTGGTATCTTGTGCTTGGTTATACTACACAGATAAATTGTGTTTGATTGCTACATTATGTTGAATGTAATGTAATCATGTTCATGTTCTAGTAGAGGTCTCATGTTCCTAGTAGAGGCAAGAAATGAGTGAATATATATTTTTTTTTTTTTGCTTCCATAGGCTTGTGCAAATCTACATTGGGGAATACGACCAAATCTAGTGTAGCAGCTAATGTTATATTGGGCCTAATTGGTTGCATGTATTAGGCTTGGCCTACATTAGACCTTATACAACATAATCTAAACTAGTATAAATGTATGCACTGCCTTTGTGTTTGGTTGTCATGCGTAGGCAAGTCGTATTTGATAAAATTGTGTTTGCTTGTTTACATTTTATTGCATATAGTCACCTTATATGTTGTATTAAGGTTCTCATATTTCTAGTCAAGGTAGAGAATATGATTTTTTTTTACTTTTGTGTGTTCATCAACTTATGTAAATCCGCATTGTCTAATATAAAAAATCTGATACGAGAAGGAATTTGAGAGGCGTTGTTGAAGTACATGATAAAAAATAGGGCCAACAAATGTAGGGGCTCCCTCAAATCAAAAGTAGGGGCTTGATTTGAGGGCTCCTGCTAGAGTTGCTCTAAATAGTTCAGTTTAGAAACTACTTAATTTTTGAGCAGGTCAAACTGAGACCTGTTTAGTAAACGACTTTGCAAACGGCTTCACCTAAGAAGTCAAAGAAGGCGGAGAAGCCTCGTGTTTTACCTTTCTAATAGAAACACTTTCTTTCCTTTACAGCTTTATTGTTTTATCTTTCTAGCAAAAAAATGGCTTCTCCTATTTGTAGCTTTTCTTGCAAAGCCATTTTACGAGCTAGCATTTGGTAGGTTTTTATCTAAGAAACCATAAAAAAAAACAAGAAGCGAGGATCTAAATGATTCCTCAACTCTCGTTGTTGCTTAATCATACATCTGAATCTGACAAAAATTTTAAGATTGCGTAGCTTGTTGCTGCTGGTGTAAGATTTCATTTGAACGACTTGACATGCTCCACGAGTAGCAGTTGCGTCACATCGTGTCGCTTTCCGTCCGTAAGTAAAATATACCGTTTGCATGTCGTTTATTTATGATGCGAGATTCGTCGAGACTTGCCTTGTAAGTTGGACTTGTGGTTGTGGTCGGTAGATGGTGACAGCGAGCGAGTGATGCTACAGCGGCACAAGATTGTGACAGACTACCAGCTAATAAGGTTCCCCGGCAACCCCCTGTTGTTTCCTAATTCCTGTCCAACGGTAATGCACTGCAGCTTGTGTTGCTAACCACTGACCTAACGTTGACAGTGTGGCACACCGGCCGGTCGGTATGGATGTGACGATCGTGCTTGTGCCCTGTCAAAATGGAGAGGGATGAAGCGAATCGGGCGAACAGCCCTTCTCTTTACATACACACACCAAACGCGTCATTTGCAGATGCGCGGCTACCATAGCCTACGTACATGTAACACCATGTGAGCAGCATGTCAACAAACCCACGGCAATAGATTCTGTCCCCTGGTAGGCTGCGGAAAGAAACACATCAACACGGATAGGAATCGATTACATTGACTTGCCATGTGCAGGTTTGCGATTTCTATGGAGATCTGGGTACAAAAGGAAATTGCAAGATTCAAGACATTGCTGGAACCCTACAACAAAAACAGGAACATAATATTATGACCTGGAAACCACTGAATCCCCAAACAGGCTCCATGGTAGGGTAGGTAGTACTGACATCAAGCCATCCTTGTTACAAGCACCATCCATGGCTCAACCAAAAAAGATAAGAGAAAATTACATATAATATACTATACGACCAAGCTCCAGGTAACTGACCGACCACTGATATTGTACTTACTTAGCCCATAATCACACCCTGCATTTGCACATTCTTCCAACCCTAACAACCCACAGAAACCAAATCAATAGTCAACGCATCCTTTTTGTTCTCTTTCTCCGCACCAGAGGATCGCCAGAACCAATCCCTCTAGCTAGACTGGTATCACATCCAGGTCAGATGTGTCTTCGCATCTCAGGACCAGGCCCTCGAGGCTGGCCGGGAGGATGCACTTGGCCCATTGGCAGCCAGTGGAGATGGGTTCAGCTGGAGGAACGATCATCAGCACGTTCTCATTCCTTTGGACAACACCCATCACACTCACAGTGCTGCCCTCCTTGATATATCTGCAGCCCCCAATGGCCGTGTCAAATGGAATTGATAGTTATCACAAAATAAGCTGTGCCTAGGAGAAAGCAAATGAAGGAAGAAAGAGTACCCTTCTTTAAGGCGCATAATCCGATCATCACTCGAGAGATTCCTTCCACGGAGCCACCTCAGGAATTCAGGTGACATGTCCTTGTTGTCTGGGTTTATGTCAATAACAACAGATTCGTCCACATATGGGGTTACGCGTGCACCAGATCCTGTCCTGACTAATGCTCGCAGTCCAGACTGGAAATCAGAGATGTAGAAGTCCACTGCATGTCGCTGCCAATATTGCACAGGAAGAAAACAAACGTGAGAAATGATTAAGGTGAAAAGAGCTGCATTGCAAGAGTCAGGCATTCTTCCATGACATGCTTGTATTCCAACCAAACTCACCTCCATTGACCTGAGACCCCAAGTAAATCGGTGATGCGTAGTGTTAGCAGCTTTCGAATCCCAACCCCTATACTCATACAAGCAAGTTGAAGTGTAAACACATCGCGGCACCCGTTGGAATGAGGACTCAAGGGGCAGATTTCCACATGTAACAACCTGCAAAGTTCAGTATACTAGGTGAGGACTAGCTGTTGTTAATGATACACAAAAATGCTGGTGCTTAAAGCCAATGTCTTTAACTATAAGTAGAAAAATCACTGCATGGGAAAACTCATAACATGATGCTACATCATTTACTAGTCCATGTACAGGGAGCAATATTTAGGTATATAAATAAGGTTATTTTCTTAATGACAGCCATAAAACCTGCTTGAGTGAAGTAAATTTTCTGTGTTCTCTGCATCCAAATTATCTTTTTTTTTTTTAAATGAAGCCTACCTGAAGTGTAATACCTGTACAGTGTACATAATTTACCTTATACCTATATCAAAATACTTAGTGTTGAAAAAGGCAGTGAAATTACATCAAAATATAGTTAGCAGGCAGTTTAGAAGCATGGTACAACAGAACCAGCCAGAAATGCAAATGCAAAAAGATTACCAGACTCATCAGA